CTGGTACCAGGAAAACCAAGTAACAGAAAGACCTAATCATCAACAATCTGGGCGTCCACTCAGAGACCAATCAAAAAGTCAGTAACTACTCAGACGACAGGTGGATAAATCCACAAAGATGGAAAGAAACCAGCGCAAAAAGGATAAAAACACCTGAAACCAGAACACCTCGCCTCCTACAAAGAACCAAAACTCCTCACCAGAAAGGGAACAAAGCTGACGGAGAATGACTGTGATAAAATGATGGAATTAGACTTCAGAAGGTGTGTAATGAGAAACTTCTGTGAACTAAAAGAACATGTTCTAAATCAATGCAAAGAAACTAAGAACCTTGAATAAAGATTTGAGAAAAGATTTGAGAAAATGATAACAAGAATGGATAACTTAGAGAGGAATGTGAATGAACTGAAGTAGCTGAAATACACAATACTAAAACTTCATGAAGCATGCACAAGTTTCAACAGCTAAATTGACCAAGCAGAAGAAAGAATATCAGAAATTGAAGATCAACTCAATGAAATAAAACGAGAAACCAAGATTAGAAAAAAAAGCGCAAAAAAGGAATAAACAAAGTCTCCAAGAAAAGTGGGACTATGTGAAAAGACCTAACCTACGTTTGATAGATGTACCAGAAGGAAACCAAGAGAATGAATCCAAGCTGGAAAATACTCTTCAAGACATAATCCAGGAAAATTTCCCCCACCTAGCAAGAAGGGCCAACACTCAAATTCAGGAAATACAAAGAACACCACAAAGATATTCCGCAAGAAGAGCAACCCCAAGGCACATAATCGTCAGATTCAACAGGGTTGAAATCAAGGAGAAAATATTAAGTGCAGAAAGAAATAGGTCGGGTCACCCACAAAGAAAAGCCATCAGACTCACAGCAGATCTCTTGGAAGAAACTCTACAAGCCAGAAGAGAAAAAGGGCATATATTCAACATCCTTAAAAAAAAAAAATTTCAACCAAGAATTTTATATCCAGCCAAACAGAGCTAAGTAAGTGAAGAAAAAATAAAATCCTTTAAGAACAAGAAAGTGTACTCAGAGATTCTGTCACCACCAAGCCTGCTTTAGAAGAGCTCCTGAAAGAGGCACTACACATAGAAAGAAACAACCAGTACCAGCCATTCCAAAATTACACTAAATGCTAAAGAGCATCAACATAATGAAGAATCTACATCAACTAACAAGAAAAACAGCCAGCTAGCATCAAAATGGCAGTATCAAATTCACAAATAACAATATTAACCCTAAATGTAAATGGACTAAATGCACCAATCAAAAGACACAGACTGGCAAATTGGATAAAAACCCAAAACCCATCAGTGTGCTGTATCCAGGAAACCCATCTCACATGCAAGAATACACAAAGGCTCAAAATGAAGGGATGGAGGAAGATTGACCAAGCAAATGGAGAGAGAAAAAAAAAGCAGGAGTTGCAATTCTCATCTCTGATAAAATAAACTTTAAAGCAACAAAGATCAAAAGAAACAAAGAAGGCCATTACATAATGCTAAAAGGATCGATACAAGAAGAGCTAACGATCCTAAACATATATGGGCCCAATGCAGGAGCACCCAGATAAATAAGGCAAGTTCTTAATGACTTACAAAGAGACTTAGACTCCCACACAATAATAGTGGGAGACTTTAACACTCCACTGTCAATATTAGACAGATCAACCAGACAGAAAATCAACAAGGATATCCAGGGCTTGAACTCAGACCTGGAGCAAGCAAATCTGATAGACATTTACAGAACTCTCCACCTCAAATCCACAGAATATACATTCTTCTCAGCACCACATCACACCTACTCTAAAATTGACCACATAAATTGGAAGTAAAGCACTCCTCAGCAAGTGCAAAACAACTGAAGTCATAACAAACAGCCTCTCAGACCATAGTGCAATCAAGTTAGAACTCAGAATTCAGAAACCAACCCAGAACCTCACAGCTTCATGGAAACTGAACAACTGGCTCTTGAATGTTGACTGGGTAAACAATGAAATGAAGGCAGAGATAAAGAAGTTCTTCGAAACCAATGAGAATGAAGACACAACAAGCCAGAATCTCTGGGACACATTTAAAGCCGTCGCCAGAGTAAAATATCTAGCAATAAGTGCCCATATGAGGAGAATGGAGAGATCCAAAATTGACACCCTATCGTCAAAATTGAAAGAGCTAGAGGAGCAAGATCAAAAAAACTCAAAACCCAGCAGAAGACAAGAAATAACTAAGATCAGAGCTGAGCTGAAGGAGATTGAGACACGAAAAACCCTTCAAAAAATCAATAAATCCAAGAGCTGGTTTTTTGAAAAGATCAACAAAATAGACAGACCACTAGCCAGATTGATTAAAAATAAAAGAGAGAACAACCAAATAGATGCAATAAAAAATGATAAAGGGGAAATCACCACAGATTCCACAGAAATTCAAACCATCATCAGAGAATATTACAAACAACTATATGCACATAAACTAGTAAACCTGGAAGAAATGGATAAATTTCTGGACTCCTGTGTCCTCCCAAGCCTAAACCAGGAGGAAGCTGAAACTATGAAAAGACCAATAAACAAGGTCAGAAGCTGAGGCAGCAATTAAGAGCCTACCACACAAAAAAAGCCCAGGTCCAGACGGGTTCACAGCCGAATTCTACCAGACACACAAAGAGGAGCTGGTACCATTCCTTCTAAAACTATTCCAAATAATCCAAAAGAGGGAATCCTTCCCAAATCATTTTATGAGACCAACATCATCCTGATACCAAAACCCGGCAGAGACCCAGCAATAAAAGAAAACTTCAGGCCAATATCCATGATGAACATAGATGCAAAAATATTCAATAAAATATTGGCAAGCCAATTGCAACAGCAAATCAAAAAACTTATTCACCATGAACAAGTAGGATTCATCCCGGGGATGCAAGGCTGGTTCAACATATGCAAATCTATAAACGTAATTCACCACATAAACAGAACCAAAAACAAAAACCACATGATTATCTCAATTGACGCAGAGAAGGCATTTGACAAAACTAAACAGCCCTTTATGCTAAAAACCGTCAATAAACTCGGTATCGATGGAACGTATCTCAAAGTAATAAAAGCTATTTATGACAAACCAACAGCCAATATCATACTGAATGGGCAAAAACTGGAAGCATTCCCTTTGAAATCTGGCACTAGACAAGGATGCCCTCTTTCACCACTCCTATTCAATATAGTATTGGAAGTTCTAGCCAGAGCAATCAGGCAAGAAAAAGAAATAAAGGGTATTCAAATAGGAAAGGTGGAAGCCAAATTGTTTCTATTTGCAGATGACATGATAGTATACCTAGAAGACCCCATCACCTCAGCCCAAAAACTCCTGAAACTGATAAGCAACTTCAGCAGTCTCAGGATATAAAAAGGAGAAATGCCAAATGTGGGTGAAGGGGAGAAAGGCAGCAAAACACACTGCCATAGGTGTACCTATGCAACTATCTTGCATGTTCTGCATATGTACCACAAAACCTAAAATGCAATTAAAAAAAAAATCTGGAGACAACATATGCTGGAGAGGATGTGGAGAAATAGGAACACTTATACTGTTGGTGGGAGTGTAAATTAGTTCAACCATTGTAGAAGACAGTGTGGCGATTCCTCAAGGACATAGAAATAGAAATTCCATTTGACCCAGCAATTCCGTTATTGGGTATATATCCAAAAAAGAATAATTTGTTCTACTATAAGGACACATGCAGACAAATGTTCATTGCAGCACTGTTTTTAATAGCAAAGTCCTGGAACCAATCCAAATGCCCATTGATGATAGACTGAACAGGTAAAATGTGGCACATATATACCATGGAATACTATGCAGCCATCAAAAACGATGAGTAAGTGTCCTTTGTGGGGACATAGATGAAACTGGAGAACATCATTAGCAAACTGACAAAAGCACAGAAAATGAAATACCGCATGTTCTCACTCATAGTCGGTTGTTGAACAATGAGAATACATGGACACAGGGAGAGGAGTACTACACACAGGGGTCAGTTGGGGAAATAAAAAAGGGACAGCGAGTGGTGGGGATTTGGGGAGAGATAGCATGGGGAGAAATGCAAGTTATACGTGAAGGGAAGAAAGGCAGAATATAACACTGCCATGTGTGTGCCTATGTAACTATCTTGCATATTTTTCACATGTACCCCAAAATCTAAAATGCAATTAAAAAAAAAAGGTGTAACTACTAACAGTTCATATCATAGCAATGGTATTAACAAAGCCAAGAGACCATATGGATGAATTAAGAACATGGGACTTGTTAAAAGAAATCAGTTCTTTCAAACAAGAGAGATTTTCCTTTTTTCATCATCATGGTAGAATATAAATACTCGACACAATGCAATAATTAAACATTCTAGTTAATGATGCATTTCCATACTAATCATACGTAACATTTGTTCTAAAAGTCATAAAATATAGTACATTTAATAAAGTTCAAATAAAAACAACTGATATTTAATGTTTAGGGAATGTTTAGGATTTCACAATGAGAAGTAATTTGAAATCTTGAGATAATTTTTTTTTTTTTACAATGCTGCAAACTAATTTCCTAATTGATAAAAGAGAAGAGATTACATCAATGTCTAAAGAAAGTTTCTACTACTGTTTCTGATGGGAAAGTATGTGATCACAAAGACTATCAGATACTTTAATAGTATAGCACAATTTATATAGAATAGAGCGTTTGTTTTTTTTTTTTTTAATAAAAATAAACTTCCAGACAGAGCAACTTCTTTTTAAGTGTAACTTTTTCTTATATTTGGGCTAACAAGTTGGTGATTAATTTTTATAATTTTAAACATTTTCATTTCCATTTGAAGTTTAATTTTTTCATAAAAATATATTACTGATCTATTTGATTGTCTCCAAAATAAAATAAATTTTGTAATCATAATTTTTTTTTCTACTTCAGAGGGCTATATTTTGAGAACTGGTATAAATTCTTACCTCTACAAGATAAGGCTCCATTTGATCCAGGGTTTTCCCAAGATGCTTATCAGGATCTAAGCCTGCCAAGAAAGGTTAAATTTTTTAAAGATAACTATCAGATGAAAACTTTAAAGACACATTCACCTTCCCTTGGCCCCTCCTTGCCTAAGAAAGCAGTGTGTATATATTTTGAATTGCTTTGATCATAAAGATAAATATACTTTGCTAGTATTTACTTTTCTATTCCCCTTGGGAAACTGTTTTTGTTGCTTCTGAAAAGTAAGTTTTCATTTATTTCAAATGCACTTTGTCAACTACCAGATGCACTCTTTCAATTCCTTTATCCATTTTGGAAAACTATTAATTAGGATAGAAAAAAACAGTATCATTTTAAATACATAAAATTGTAATTCTTTATATTTTAGTAGTTATGATTTATTTTACTGATGAACAACAGCATTAATTTTCTGATTTGTTCCTATTTTATTTAAACTTAAAACTTCTTAGGAAGGGTAGAAAATAGCAGTAGAATGTTACGCTTATTTTATTAATTCACTTAAAAGTAGCATATGGGCACAAATAATTGGATTATTAAATTAAATGACATTTCATTTCAACTCCTTTCCAACAATGTATTTTTCAAGTAAAGACAGATACAACTCTGAAAAATCATTATTGTGCCAATAGCATGTACATAACTTTTAATAACGATATTAAACTGACATAATAGCAGTTAATATAGGTGATGGGGTGTGGGAGACAAGAGTTAGCAATACGAATGCTTTCCTTGCACCAAGACTAACCTGCCAGGAAAAAAAATCACGTCACAAGTTGGCTACAAAATAAATTCATTTTGGATATTCACATTCATATTTAAATATATTGGCATAGCTTCATTTACATAAGTTAATGTAATGAAAGACAACAGTATGAGGAAAGAAAGTTTTGTCAACAAACGGTGTGAAGCAATTAGATATCCACTTGCAAAAAAAAAAATGAATCTAGACACAAACTTTACATTCTTCACAAAATTAACTCAAAATAGATTGTAGACATAAAGGTAAAATGCAAAATTATAAAACTCCTATAATAGAAAAAAAATCTAGATTGCCATCGGTAGGGTGATGACTATTAAGACAGACCATCAAAAGCATGATCCATTACAAAAACAATTAATAAGTTGATTTCATTAAAAATTAAAACCCTCTGCTCTGTGAAAGCAAGAGAAAAAGAAAAGGGGCAAACTAAGAGAAAATATGTACAAAGAACAGCCAATAAAGAACTATTATCCAACATATACAAAGAACTCCTACAACTAAACAATAAGAAAACATCTATCCAATTTAAAAATGGGCAAAAGACCATACAGACACCTAACTAAAGATATATCAATGGTAAATAAGCTTATGTAAACATCTTCCATATCATATGTCACTAGAGAAATGCAAACAAAACAAGAAGATACCACTACACACCTATAACAGTGGCCCAAATCTGGAAAACTTACAACACCAAAGGCTGGCAAGGATGTAGAGAAATACTATTGCTGATTAGAATACAAAATGGTACAGTCACTTTGTAAGACAGTTGGGCAGTAAAAACTGAACATATTCTTGTTATTTGACCCAACTGTGGTGTTCCTTGGTGTTTACCCAAAGGTATTAAAAACTTCTGTCTTCACAAAAACTTGCACATGGATGTTTATAGCAGCTTCAATCATAATTGTCAAAATCTAGAGCAACCAAAATGTCTTTCAGTGGGTAAATGACTAAAAAAATTGTGTACATCCAGACAATAAAATATTATTCAGTGCTAAAAAAAAAATCAGCTTTCAAGCCATAAATATACATGGAGGAAATGTAAATACATATTACTAAGTGAAAAAGGTCAATTTGAAAAAGCTACGTACTGTATAATTCCAACTATATGACACTCTGGAAAAGAAAAAGCTATGAAGACAGTAGAAAGGTCAGTGATTGCCAGGGGATTTAAGCAGAGGGCAGACAGGGTTAAACAGGAAGAACAAATAGAATGTGTAAGGTAGAAAAATACTCTGTATGATACTATAGTGATGAATACATGCTATTATACATTTGTCTAAACCCACAGAAGGTACATCACCAGCAGTGAACCTTAATGTAAATTATGAACTTTGGGAGATTATGATGTGTCAATGTAAGTTCATTAATTTTAACAAATGTACCAATCTAGTAGGGGAGGTTGATAATGGGAAAGCCCAAGTGGTATGGCTTCAGGTTGTATAAAAAATCTCTGTACATTTCTCTTAATTTTCTGTGAAACTTAAATAAACTGTTTGACCAAAATAAAAAAATTTTGCAAAGTTTCCTTGTGGTCTAGAAAATGATCAAATTTTATAAATGCTCCACTTGCACTTGAATAAAAGTGTGTTTTCTTTTTTCTTTCCTTCTTTTTTTTTCTTTTTGAGACAAAGTTTCACTCTTGTTACTCAGGCTGGAGTGCAATGGCTCGATCTCAGCTCACCGCAACCTCCGCCTCCTGGGTTCAGGCAATGCTCCCGCCTCAGCCTTCTGAGTAGCTGGGATTACAGGCATGCCCCACCATGCACAGCTAATTTTTTATATTTTTAGACGAGACAGGGATTCACCATGTTGAACAGGATGGTCTCGATCTCTTGACCTCATGATCCACCCACCTCGGACTCCCAAAGTGCTGGGATTACAGATGTAAGCCACCGCGCATGGCCAAAAGTGTGTTTTCTATCTGTTGAAAGCAATATTTTGTACCCAAACACACAAAATCATTATCATACTTGTTAATTTTGCTGTTCAAATCTTTTAAGGTCTTAAAAATCTGTGATCTCCATGAACCATCATTCTCCAATAAGGTAAAAAAAAATCTCCCATTATGATTTTGGATTTAATAATCTCTTCTTATAATTCTGTCATTTTTTTCCTTAATATATTTGAGAGCTATGTTGTTATATGTACATAAACTCATAATTTGTAAACTTTTTGATGAAATTATTCCATTTATAAGTAAGTAGCAACATTTTCATCTCCACCATTTTTTTATCTTGTAATCTATGGGTCAACTATGAATACTGTGACACCACCTTTCTTTTGTTAATATCTTTCATACATATTTATTTTCATTATTTGTACACAAATTTTTGGTATTGTTTTTGTTTGAGATGCCTAAATGTAATTAGATTTTTTATTTGTTTGTTTCACCTGGTCTTATAAATACAACTCTAAAAAATTGAGTTTCATAATTTTATATTATATGACTGGACCTGTTTCTATCATCTTAGTACAAATTTTGTTACATTAAGCTTTACATATTTTTTTTTTTTCTGTCTCATACTGAATTGAAATTATTTCAGTATTTTACTCTGATGATTAGAATGTTGTAGAATAAATTTCTACTTCTCAGATAATCTGTGATTTTTTTAAACACATTCAAAACCACATTTTTAGTCTTAATGTATTAAGTATCCTTAGCATCCTTTAAGAATTTAGTATGGTATTTTTTAAAAATTGTACTTTAAGTTCTGGTGTACATGTGCAAATCCTGCAGGATTGTTGTATAGTACACAGAAGCCATAACCCTTTGCTGTCTCTATCCATCAGTCACCTACATCAGGCATTTCTCAAAATGTTATCCTTCCCCAACCTACCCACACCCAGCTGTCCCTCTCCTAGCCCCCAACCCCCAAAAGACCCTAGTGTGATGTTCCCCTCCCTGGGCCCATGTGTTCTCATTGTTCAAAATTCGCAAATGAGAACATGTGGTGTTCCATTTTCTGTTCTTCTGTCACTTTGCAGAGAACTATGGTTTCCAGAGATATCCATGTACCTACAAAAAACAAACTCAACCTTTTTTATGGCTGCATAGTATTCCATGGTGTATATGTGCCAAATTTTTTTTGTTCATTCTATCACTGATGAAAATTTGGGTTGGTTCCAGGTCTTTGGTTTTGTAAACAGTGCCACAATGAACATATGAATGCATATATCTTTGTAACAGAACAATTTATAACCCTTTGGGTATATATCCAGTAATGGGATTAATAAGTCAAATGGAATTTCTATTTACAGATCCTTGAGGAATCGCCACACTGTCTTCCACAATGAACTAATTTACCTTCCCACAAACAGTGTAAAAGTGTTACTATTTCTCCACATCCTCTCCAGCATGTTGTCTCCAAATTTTTTTAATGATCATCATTGAAACTGGCATGAGATGGTATCTCAATATGGTTTTGATGTGCATTTCTCTAATGACAAGTGATGATGAGCATTTTTTCATATGTTTATTGACCTCATAAATGTCTTCTTTTGAAAAGTGTCTGTTCATATCCTTCACCCATTTTTGATTGGGTTTGTTTTTTTCTCATAGATCTGCTTTAGTTCTTTGTCGATTCTAAATATTAGCCCTGTAGATTGTGGATATTAGCCAGATGGGTAGATTGCAAAACTTTTTTCCCATTCTGTTGGTTGCCAGTTCATTCTGATCACTACTTCATTTGCTGTAAAGAAATTCTTCAACTTAATTAGATCCCATTTGTGTATTTTGGCTTTTGTTGCCGTTGCCATTGCTTTTGGTGTTTTGAGTCATGAAATCCCTACCTATGGCTATTTCCTGAATGTTTTTGCCTAGGTTTTCTTCTAGGGTTTTTATTGTGTTAGGACTTATGTTTAAATCTTTGATCTACTGGGAGTTAATTTCAGTGTAAGGTTAAGGAGGGGTCCAGTTTCTGGTTTCCATACATGGCTAGCCAGTTTTCCCAACACTATTTATTAAAGAAGGAATCTTTTCCCTACTGCTTGTTTTTCTAAGGTTTGTCAAAGATCAAATGATTGCAGATGTGTGGTATTACTTCTAAGGCTGCTGTTCTGTTTCACTGCTCTATAACTCTGTTTTAATACCAGTTCCATGCTGTTTTAATTAATATAGCCTTGTAGTATATTTTGAAGTCAGGCAGCATGATGCCTCCAGCTTTGTTCTTTTTGCTTAGGATGGTCTTGGCTATGAGGGTTCTCTTTTGGTTCCATATAAAGTTTAAGGTGGCTTTTTCCATTTCTGTGAAGAAGGTCAG